GTGGTTCTTGATACTTATTTCATATCTTAAAGTGCTCCAGATGTCCATAAAAAGCTCCAAAAATTGGCAATAGGGCCTGACACCAGTTCCACACTGGTAGCGAACACCTCAGGGTGTTTAACAACCAAGATAGGACAGGGGAAATAAAAGATGACCAAAAGACGCAGAGACACGCTACTTTGCTTGTGGTTGCCCTCCAGTCTACTTAAGGTAACCTGAGGGAGAAAAAAAAGAAGCCACGGGTGAGTGACCCCGACCCCCATCGTGGGACCAAAAGGCCACCAATAAAGATGGGGCCTAATTAATGTATATACTACAGATGGGAAGGACACTGGAAGTGGAATTGTCCAGACCAACACCAGAGAGGGAAGGGATTGGATGAGTCCAAGCCATGACAACTTCCCGTTACTACAGATGAGATGTGATGGGCCATGGGGCTCCCGGGTTGGCTCCAGGCAACCAGATCCTTATCTCCCTCGAGGAGGCCCGGGTGACCTTAGCAGTGGGAGGAGAGCATGTTGATTTTTTTCTCGATACTGGAGCCACATTCTCAGTGTTAAATACCCAGAAGGAAAACCTTTCTAAAAAACATATAACATAAAAGGGGTATCAGGAAGAGGAGAGACCAAAAGGTTTCTGGAGCCCCCGACCTGTGAAATAGGATCAAAAATGTTAAGACACTCTTTTCTATATATGCCAGAATGCCCTGTTCCCCTCCTTGGGAGGGACATACTATCAAAATTGGGGGCCTCAATAACTTGGAAAGCAGATAAAATAGAAATCCAAGCTCCCAGAGATCAGGGAGTTGAACTCACAGCCTTATTACAAGACATGCTAGTCCCAAAAGAGGAATAAATTCCCCCAAACATTTTAAACCGTTTAAACATAGAGTTAACATAGAGATGTGGGCACAAGGACAGGGGGGAGGAGTGGCCAGTGCCATACCTGTAAGCATAAAACTAAGACAAGAAGACCACTGGCTTCGGGTAAAACAATACCCCCTAAAGCAAGAAGCCATAAGAGAAATCCTTCCTGTAACTGGCAAACTTTTAAAACAAGGATTAATCAGGCCATGTAGATCCCCATACAACACTCCCAATTTGTCCATTAAAAAGCTGGGAACAGGGGATTGCAGATTTGTTCAAGACCTTAGGGCCGTCAATAAAACAGTCCAGGACATACATCCTCTTGCACCTAATCCTTATACTCTACTGGCTAATCTCCCTGGGGAGAACATGTTTTAATCAGTACGAGATTTAAAGGACGCTTTCTTTTACATCCCATTAGACCGCGAGTCCCAAAAGATTTTTGCCTTTAAATGGAAGGACCCAGAATCCCACCAGAAACAACAGCACTGTTGGACTGTCTTACCCCAAGGATTTAAAAACTCCCCTATAATTTTTGAGGAAATCTTGGGCCAAGATTCAAGGGAATTAAAATTAAAACAAAACACTGTGTTTCAGTATGTGGATGATATCCTAGTAGCCAGTCCTAAAAAAATCTCAAATGAGAACACTGTAACCATGCTAAACTTCTTAGCCAGTCAGGGATATAAAATGTCTCAGGAAAAAACAATGATATCTAAAGACACTGTAAAGTATTTGGGGTCAATTATTTCAAAAGGGCAGTACAGCCTTCCTCAAGAAAAAAAATGATAATATATCAACTTGCTCCACCAAGAACACGCAGACAGCTACAAGCATTCTAGGGACTGGCTGACTTCTGCCACTTGTGGATCCCCAATTTTGGGTTAATTGCTGAGCCTCTCTGTGACAAATTACAGGGGCCAGCACCAGCACTGGCCTTACCAGACCTAGAAAACCATCTGACTTATATATTCAGAAAAGACAAGAAATAACTCTAGGAGTAGTAACGCAAATGTTGGGACTCTTAAAAAATAATACTAACCTATTTCTCATAGCAGCTAGATATCATGATGAAAGGATGGCCCCATGCTTGAGAGCTGTAGCTGCCGCCCTCCTATTGATCAAAAATACAAACAACTTAGAGCCATGCCTGGTGACCCACAGACTTACCTTAGGTTATCGGAGGACACATTCTGCTCCTCTACTGGCCCCTCAGACAACATCCGTGCTCAGCAGGAAGTAGTTACAGAAGATGGACCTTCACCTGTCGCCCCTCAAGAATGAGGAGAAGGATAAAACTAGAGGAGGGATTTTGTGACCAGACATGGACCCTAACCCACGGCTCTTGCCTGCTTAAAAACCTAACTTTTATGTTTGACCTAATTCTCTTGTCTTCTTACAAGGTGCAGGTGTTCCTTTATCTAACACCTTACGGCCTTGAGTTCATGCGGTTTTCAGCCATGTTCCAGGAAGAAGCTCTAAGCAACAACTGCCATGGACCCAGATGCACTGAACCAGACCAGCTTAACCCTCGTTAACATCATAAATTCCCCTCCTCTGGGAGGGACAAAGCAGCCATTTTTAGGTCATGCGATCTATGTAGAAACATAATTTTAAACCACGCATGTGCAAGCTTATGCCCACCTCTACATGCCATGATGAAACTTCTCCCTGGAATATTCATCCCCTGCCCCAAATAAAGATACCCCCCTCCCCATGCTCGGGGGGCAATAGCTTTGTGAAATTATTCCCTATGGTCTCCATTTTTCTTTGCTGCATGCCGCAAATAAAAATTCTACTTTGTGAAACAACTACTTCTGGTGCAGTTTGGTTTAACTCCTAAGAAGGGACTCATGTTTGGTCCAGTAACAAATTAGATCAAAATGCTAAGTAACATAAATGCATGGCAGGAAAAAAGTCAAGAATATTTATAGAAATACAAAAATAACCATCACCCAGCAAAGTAAAATTCACAATATCTGGCATCTGATAAAAAATTATCTGCAATGGTTAAAATTTTCCTAATTTGATTAAAATTTGCAGATCCAAGAAGGTCAATGAACCCCAAGAAACAGGAACAGTACTACACCAAGGCACATTATAATCAAATTGTTCAAAACCAAGGATAAAGAGAAATTCTTAAAAGTAGCTAGAGGAGAAATACAATATGATGTACATGGGAACAAAGAAAATGATCCAGCAGATTTCTTGTCACAAAAAAATATGTAAGAAGATAGAAGATAGTGGGGCAAGATCTTTAAAGTTCAACCTAGATTCTGCACCCAGTAATAATATCTATCAAAAATTAAGAATAAATAAAGACTTCACAGACATAAATAGTTGATAGGATAATTACCAACAAACCCACAGTATAAGAAATGTTAATGTCAGGGCTGGCCCTATGGTGTAGTGGTTAGGTTTCGGCACTCCTGCCCAGATCCCGGGTGGGCTACACCACTTGTCAGCCATGCTGTGGCGGCAACCCATATATAAAGTAGAGGAAGACCGGCACAGATATTAGCTCAGGGTTAATCGTTCTCAGCAAAAAAAAGAAATGTTAATGTCCCTCAGGCGGAAGGAAAATGATACCATGTGGAAGTATGGATCTGCACAAAGAAATGAAGAGCACTAGAAAATGCAAAGGGTAAAAATAACAAAAACTTTTACATGTTTACTATAAACACGTCACACTATAAAACAAGGTAAATTCAAAGAAGGCTCATTTCCATTCAAGTCTCCTCCACCCTATTCCTTTCTTCCCTCTCTCCTGCAGGTGGTTATGTAAATTTAAATTAATTTTACATTTATCCTTTCATTGTTCCCTTTGGAAAATATAGCATATATATGTGTTTACATAGAATGTGTGTATATATATGTAAATATACACACACATATTTAAGTAGCATTTTTATAACATAAAATAGTTCTTAAAAAAAGATACTCAACTAAGGATGGAAGAAACCGCGTAACAAATCCACGCCATTGACCATCCCAACCTCTTGGAGATCAAAGTACACGTTACATATTAAAATATTTTAACAATTCTGATTAAAGAGATGCGTTTATTTTTGTTTAATCCAGTATTTCCTAAACCTATATGAAATCTCCTCCCCCTCAAAAAATCCTTTTCCCATGTAGCAGAATAGTTCAGTTTTGAACTTATTTCAGCGCCTGAGAAGTGACTTTATAATTACTTCCATTTTATTTTCTGTTGGATAGAAAGGAAGAAAGCTGGAGTAGATATAAGAGTTACGATGTAGCTATATCTGCATAGCACATAAGCAGGACTAACGCTATTCACATTTATGTTCATAATTTCATAATGATACCCTATTTATAGCCAAGAAAAAGTTATAATGCAAGGGAAATTTCCAGCAATAAAATTCATAGTCAATAATTTGTTAAAAAATTGTAAATTCTACGGATTATTTTAATAATCCAATGTTCTTTATACTCATTCTTCAATAGAGCATTCTCATTTGCCTTTATAGTCTACATGGCGGAGCTCCACAGAAGACAGTCAATGTTTTTGACATTAAACTTCACCTATTTACTGTTTTTCACGAGAATGACAATCTGATATTCTTCAAGTGCTGATTTCATTATTTACATCCTTGTAGAACATGCTTTTTTCAGATGAATACTACACATGTAGTGTTGTTTCAACCTTGAGTTCATAAGATATAAGAACAGGTAAGAAAACAGGGACTCGCCACCCCTGTGCTAGTTCTTTCATACGTGGTATCTTGACTGTGCGTTTTGGGAAGTGCTAGCCAAAACTGCAGGAGGAACCCGTGCGAAGTACAGAAGCCTTAGTGAAGCAAGAAAGCAACTCCCAGAGACGGCCCTGCGCAAACACCCGCCACGCCCGCGCCCGCGCCCGGGCCCAGGCCCAGGCCCAGGCCCAGGCCCGCAAAGGGGAGCCAGGCGGCCTAAGGCCAGGCGAGGAAGAGCGTCCAGCTTCCCTCTCACCCACTCCTGTGCCGCCTGGGGCAGACAGCCCAGCCGCGGTGTGATTTTTAACTGCATGCTGCAAGTCCAGCCTGAATTCATACACACGAGTCCACTGAATTTATCGCCCAGCTACCTTGGGCTGAACCGGAGAAATAAGACCCAGCCCGCGCTCTTCCTCACCATGTGCTTCATGTTGGCCGCGGGGGGCTCCACTCGGCCCCGCATTTCATTGTGAACCGTGACGCACTCGTCTATAAAACTCTGGTCTGTGATGGAGGGGCCTCGGGGAGGCGGCTTTCCGGCTACCAGACAGACACTTAAGGTCCACAGGCAGCTCAGCTCCTCCCTCAGGACCATGGTGGGAGGCAGGAGGGCCGCGACCGCGGGCGCCGGTAACGGCCCCGGGGACCACGCTCTCGGCGGGCTCGCCCCCCGACCCCGACCCCGACCCCGACCCCGACCCCG